ATTTTATTAGGGGCCTATGTCTTTTCTCAGAAACTACACGGTGTACAAAAAAAATATAAATACAAAAGTTTCTTGGTTTTAAGCAATGTTGTCAATTATTTGAGTTTTATTTATACAGGGTGTCCCAAAAGTGCTGCACCGACTTCAAAACCGGAATTTTAAATGGGACACCTTGTATATTTTTACATTTTTGGACTCCCAGAGAAAAATAAAGGTAACTTTCATAAGGACTCCCTATTCGAATTTTGTGTAATTTAGGCAGAAATTGAGGTTATGTATTTTTTTTTAGCAAATTTATGCCCTCAGCAAACAGTGTCTCGTGCGGCTTGTAGTTGAGATTATTTAATAAAATTTCAACCACACCTTAAGAAGACTACCTCCCAACGATCTATGATGGCTAGGTGCTTTAAATTTATACAGGGTGTCTCAGATCATAGGACATTTTTTTCAATTTTCAATATACAAGTTTTTCCTAATGGAACACCCTATATTTGATATTTTTTTGTTAAAAAGGCTAAAAATACCTATCCATTCATATATACAGGGTGGGCCAATGGAAACCTTCCACCCCGATTTTTTGGATTTGAAATGAAAATCTAGAAAAACGCTCGGACACGTCGACTTTTGATTTGAGGGGGAACTATTTTTCAGTTTTTTTCATCCCCGTAACTTCAACCCCCTAACTGGGGGGAGAACAACCCCTCAAATTTGAATAGGGGATAGGGGTTGTGTCATACCTCTTTTCAAAGGTCTCTTCGAGTTCTTTATGACTCTAGAATTTCGTCTTATTATTTCCATCCGTAACAAAATGACAGCTTGTCAAAATCTTGGAAATAGACCATTATTTTAGTAGGAGTAGAAGCGATACTTGCAATTAAAGTTGTTTTATTATGTTTAATAATTAATAATAATAAGAAAACTTTAATGGTAAGTATTTTTATTAAGGCAGGTAGGTATCGATTTTATTCCTACTGGAACAATAGGCTATTTCCAAGATTTTGACAGGCTCTCATTTCGTTACGGATGGAAATAATAAGACGAAATTCCAGAGTCATAAGGAACTCGATGAGACCTTTAAAAGGAGGTATGACACGATCCCTATCCCCTATTCAAATTTGGGGGGTTGTTCTCCCCCCAGCTAGTGGGTTGAAGCTACGGGGATGAAAAAAAGTGAAAAATGGTTCCCCCTCAAATCAAAAATCGACGTTTTTCCAAATTTTTATTTGAAAGCCAAAAAATCAGGGTGGAAAGTTTCCATTGGCCCACCCTGTATATGTCCTATACCTAAATCTAATAGTTCACGAAATATTTAGACCACTTACTTCATCGATATATTTTGATATACCTATATAATTTCAAAGAATAATCTTAAAAGAAATACATCAACACCTAAATTAAAGCTAAGTAACAGTAAGTCTTCAACATGTAATATGTCCTCCATTTTGAGCTATGCATGTAGCGTAAATGGCCTCTAAATTGTTTACAGCATTAAACACAGAATTCGTTTCATTTAATAAGTGCGCTACAGCTTCTCTGATAGGTAGGTCTTTGAACATCGTTTACCATAGTAGGCCTTTGTTTGTATACAATTTCCTTTAATGTTCCCCACAAGAAAAAATCTAGTGGGGTGAGATCTGGACTTCGAGCTGGCCACGAGATCGTTCCATTTTCCCCTATTCAACGGACGTAATTTAGGTTTAAATAGTCTCTTACATTGTTCCCCTTGTGGTACGGAGCTCCACCTTGTTGTTTAGGTATAGGACATATATATATGAATGGATCGGTATTTTTAGCCTTTTTAACAAAAAAATATCAAATATAGGGTGTTCCATAAAAAAAACTTGAATATCCTATGATCTGAGACACCTGTATAAATTTAAAGCGCCTAGCCATCGTAGCTTGTTGGGAGGTAGTCTTCTTAAGGTGTGGTTAAATTTTTTTTTAATAATCTCAACTACCAGCCACACAAGACACTATTTGCTGAGGGCATAAATTTGCAAAAAAAATACATAACCTCAATTTCTGCCTAAACTACACAAAATTCGAATAGGAAGTCCTTTATTTTTCTCCGGGATTCCAAAAATGTAAAAATATACAAGGTGTTCCATTTAAAATTCTGGTTTTGAAGTCAGTGCAGCACTTTTGGGACACCCTGTATAAATAAAACTCAAATAATTAATAACATTGCTTAAAACCAAGAAACTTTTGTATTTATATTTTTTTTGTACGCCCTGTAGTTTCTGAGAAAAGACATAGGCCCCTAATAAAATGCCCACCCTGTACACGTATTGCGAAAATGTCGGTATTTCGTAAGTATTTCGCGAAATTCAAAGTATTTCGGTGGTGGTAATTCGAACCCGAGTTCTTTGTGGTATTGCCGTACTTCGAAGTATTTGGAGGTAATTCGAAGTATTTCGAGGTAATTCGAAGTATTTCGTGGTAATTCGAAGTATTGCGCGGTAAGCCGAGGTATTTCAAGCTATTTAAAAGTAGTTTTTATTTATTTACTGAGAACAATTAATTCCTTATCACCTAAAATTGGAATATTATAGAATGAAAACTATAGTCCATCTTCGAACAAGCAAAATATGTTGACATAATTAGGAGATACTGCGGATTAATTGAAACAAATGGAGAGATATACTACCTGATATGTATAAGTGATCAACTAACCAGTGTGTGTCAGTTAGTTAATAGTACAGGGTCATTCAACGAGGACTGAACAGGGAATTATTTCTGACTTTCCCTGTATTTTTGAGAAAATTTAAAATAGCCATTTGGAACAACAACTCAAAAATAATGGTACCAAAAAATCATTTGAACCAAAAACCAAAGAATTACGCCCATGGATGAGCTGTTTTTTAAATGGAACACCCTGTTTTTTGTATGATTTTTGGAGAAGTCTCATTTTTTTTTACATGTATCTATTAAAAATATGTGATGTTCCGATAGCTGTTTTTATTTTATTTTAATGTTTTATTCTTATTAATTTTGCCTTTACCTGTTTAATACATGGCAAGAAAATTCAAAGATTTCATCACCTATGAACACTGGCGTAGCCAGAGGGGGCAAGGGGGCATTTGCTCCCCTAAGACCATTAAATTTTTTAAATAATTCCTCAAAAGCCTAAAAAAAGGGCTTTGCACCCGCCGCTTTGCCTCTGTCAGCGGTCGCGGAGGGGCCGCAAGAAACACTTCCTGCAAATTTGCCCCCCCCCCCCCCCAAGACAGAATCCTGGCTACGCCAGTGCTTATGAACCAATTAAAGCCAACAGGTAAAGCTAAAATTATTAGGCATAAAACATTAAAATAAAATAAAAACAGCTATCGGAATATCAAATATCAGGGTTGGAAAAAACCCGGGTTTTTTTGAAAAAGTCCAACCCGTCGGGTTTTTTTGGGTTTTTATGGGTTTTCTGGGTTTTTTTGGGTTTTTTCGGGTTTTCCGTTTCTTTCTTCAAATTTGATTTATAGTTTCTACTCTAGCAAAAGTAATACAAAAATTATGACTTTTGTTGCAAAAATAAAATATCCGAGAAAATAATATCCTTACAAAATAAAGCAAGCCACTTGATATAAATAATTACACTTGGCATTAGTGCACTGCACCACGCCTCTGGCTGGCCAACCCAGAGACTCCGTGTCATGTAGAATTCTACATATCAACAGGATTCTATAGACTCGGCACATTCTATATGTTGAATTCTAAAGTTTACATGGTACGGAGTCCCTGCCCAGGCCTCCACGCCAACAGCAAACAGCCGGGGACTAGGGAATCATCGGGGAATCCCTGATATTTCCTGTGAAAATGACGCTCATTCAACTGAAAATTTGCTATTTTTAAAAAAACCCAAAAAAAACAATAATGGTGGGTTTTATCAATTGAAAAAAGCCAAAAAACCCCACTGGGTTTTATAACCTGGGGAAATTCTATGCTAACCCTGTCAAATATTAGGTTCCACAGAATAGATGTAAAAAATGAGACTTTTCCAAAAACACGGTGTTCTATTTAAGAAACAGTTCAATCATGGCGTAATTCTTTGGTTTTTGGTTCGACCGATTTTTTGGTACCATTTTTGAATTCTCCAGAGAAAAATATTCCAATTGGCTATTTTGGATTTTTTCAAAAATACAGTTAAAGTCGAAAATTGCCCCTGTTCAATCCTTGTTGGATGACTCTGTATCTAACAGCATTGTAGAAGTAACAGTCATCTGTATCACTAACTATTGATTCAATTGCTCGTTCAATTGTCCATCCTGTGTGTCCGAATAAAGTCCATCATATCAAAAGACACAAAAATCCGAGCAAAAATTCTTCACTTCGATCCACAAGAATACTTAATAGTTATCAATGAAAATTTTTTAGAAGTATTGCGGGATTTCGCGCGATAGTTCGAAAGTATTTCGCGTACTTCGACGGTAATTCCATGGTATTTCACGTACTTCGACGGGAATACCTGGTATTTCGAGGTACTTCGCGGTATTTCTAGGTACTTCGAAGTATTTCGGAGGTAATTCGGGCCAAGTGTACACTTATTTCGGAAAGTGGTTGACCCCTCGGTGACCATATTCATTTGAAATATAATGTTAAAATTATTTTTGGGCATCACTACAGCGGCATCGCGCAACGCTCACCGCTCGAGCGGTGTCAATATGAACGCGCACTTATACACAATAATTTGCTAAAATATTCAACATTTATTTTCCTCATGAAATAATGTTGGTATATAAGCTAGAACAAAAAATACAGCACAAAACTTGATCCTCGACTACAAGATAAAACTAGTATCTAATAGGCAAAAATTGCTACACAACAGTTGCGAGGCGGAATATTTTCTGTTAAAGGTAAATGTGATGCGGCTTTGCGGCAAATTTTATTCGGGCGAACTGGTTCTGTCACGACAATGAACTCTCAGGCTGATATAAGACGATCTGCGTTTTTTTTATAAATTCCATCTCGGTACTACTAGAGACGCTTCAAGAATTTCCTTTTTGTTGCAGCAACAAAAGTTCCTTAAAAGATCCGCTGATGAATTGGAATCCGGCACTCCGATTGACAATTTCGAACCGCCGGTCAAATTACAGTGTACCACACAGCAGCACGGTACTAATCAAAACGAGGGACTAACGAAATTTTCAGTGAGTTTATTGTAAAGTGTTAATATTTTTTTCCAAATTGTAAATCATTACAGATTTTTTTATAAAACAAATTCCATTTTCAGGTTGAAATTGTTCAGCAGCTCGAATTCACTACATCTGCAGCTAATTCGCAACCCCAACAAATCAGTACAAATGTCACAGTTAAAACTCACGCCAACACCAGCGTTAAAAGTGACATTTCTTCGCCAAAATCCAACACTCCCGGTACTTCAGGCCACACCCAAAAGGCTAATATTGGCTTGGATGTTGGTACGTTGGTGGAATGCGTCAAACAAGAACCCGACAATGATTTTGCCGACTTAGATCAATGCGCAGCTGCCCTGGAAAAAGATGCAGCTGCTAATGGTGGTGCTGGATTTGGTGCTTCATTTCCCGACCTTATCGGGGACGATACCAATGACGAAATTATGTCTTCAGCTGCCTTCAAGGATCTCATTTCTGATATAAGTAATTACCCTGACTATCCAGAGCTGATGAAAGATTTTGACTTTGAAGATAAACCATCAGATCTTGGCAGTAACTTAAAAATCGAAGAAAAAGATTCCACGCAGCAAACACAAGCAAATAACAATGCGAACAAAAACACTCAAAGCCCCTTATTGGGCAATCAAAACAACTATTCACCTCCAGTTTTTGATAAAAATCCCGCAGCAGCAGTAAATGCCAGGCTTCCTTACTCGAACATGGACTTTGCCAAAACCGAACTCAGTCCGGCCGCACAGACTTTAAAACAAATGGCCGAGCAACATCAGCACAAAAGTCAAATGTCTCTAAACTACAATCCAGGAAATCGTGTGCCAAACGCTAGATCACCATATTCGGATTTCCAGTTTCAAGGAAACGATTATGGCAGTCCTAATTCGAACCAAAACTTCCACAAAAACAATCCCGGATTCCCTCAGCCAGACATGATTAAACAAGAGATGATTTATCAATCCAGTGATTTCAATGACATGAAACAACGCAAACAAGCTCCAACTAGCAATATGTACTCAAAGCAACAGCAATACTCTCCATACGGCAGTCCGGGACAAGGTAACAGTCCAGGATTTTTACCCTCAGGTCGTGGAAATAACCAGCCCAACCAAGGGCCTTTTAGCGGTGGCACACCTCCTAGACCACCTTCAGGACCTGGCGCGGGAAATTCTCAAGGCGCTTCGGTTCAAATTAACCAGGCTCAACAGCTGAATATCAACCAACAAAGTCACGGACCTATTCAGGTAAGAAGTTTTCTCTGAAAAAAAGATAAATCGGGTAAGATAAATTTATGGCCTTGCTTCTTGAACGCTGGGCACTGGCATGGGGTGATTTGTGCGCGGTCATTTTATAAGGGATGTTTTCGGGGGCGACTATCAAATTAGGGGTGATTTAGTTGCAGCGGCGCGAGTGATTTATAAGGCGATAAATTTTCGAATGGGGAATTTTAATATACAGTATGCGGACTGAACTTGATAGTTTTGTTTTTTTTTTTTTAATGCTCAAATCTGAAAGCAATATATTCGAGGAGCTTTTGGGAAGCAGAGTAGTAGTTTGATGTCGGTAATTGAGGAGAATAAATCGTAGAATATTTAATATTATAATTCATACAGCCAGAGAACACACACTTTTCCACGAACTTGGAACTTGATTGACATAAAACATTGACTCCCCAATCGGCATCTGACATCCCCAAAAGTTCCCCATTTCTCTTGGTGTAATTTAATCCGAGAAGATTACTTGATTTAAGGTAGCGAAATACTCATTTCGCTGCAATCCAGGCTTGATTTAGGGTGTCTATTGCAATCTGATTATTTGTTGGATCGCCTCGTTTCTTTCTAGACATTTTCTGGCTTCATCATAGATTTTAAGCTCTTCATATGATTCGGACAATAAACAATAAGCCTCATAAATTTCATAATCATCTAGATGATTTGGTCTTTTAATTCTTCTTCCACTTCTAGATTGAGCTTGATTTTCTATTTCTTCTTTATTATTATTTTCAATGTCTTTTTCACTTTCTTGATAAATTTCCTCTTCTCTTGGGTGTTCTGCATCGTAATATTCCTCTTCTTCTGTTTCTTCTTCTTTTGTTTGATAAAGTTGAATTTTTAATTCAACTTTTTTCTCATTTGTGTTCCCTTGATTTTGTTTATATTCTAAAATACTTTCATGAAAACGTACGTCCCTGGACTCTATTACTTTATCTTCTGAAGGTATCCAGAGTCTATAACCTCCTCCACAATATCCCACCATTATAGCTTTTACCTACGAGCGTGCGGTAAAGTGCACTTTACCGCACTTCTTTGCAAATGGAAACTAGCATTTTACCGCACACTATGCGGTAAAGTTGCTTCACCGCATAGTGTGCGGTAAAGTTGCTAAATCTCATTTATCATCATTGCTAAATCTAATTTAATTTCATTAATTAATCTGATTCATTAATTATTAATTTTATTAATGCCCTTTTTGGAGATGTAGATGCTTCGCGTCGTTCGGTCAACTGCCGTTGCGTGCGGTAAAGTATCACTTTCCGCATTTGTTAGGTAAATAACTACTTTGGCCTTTGGTTCAAGCTTATTTTCCTTTGGTAGTTGAACATACAATTCTTTAAGTTTACTAATATCAGTAGGGCCATACCATTTTAGTGATGGGGTTTCTCCTTTATTGAGGACTGAGGTTGGTGTTTCATTTAATGCATACAATGATGATAATAATCCTTTTCCCCACAGTGTCTGGGGTACACCTGAGTCGATAAACTTGGTTCTGATCACATTTAAAAGTGTTCGGTTCATACGTTCTGCTTTACCATTCATCTGTAATCTATGGACTATACGACATAGTATATTCTAAATGAATGCCCTTACTTTTGGCAAAGTCTTTAAAATTGTATGATGTGAATTCACCACTATTGTCTAAACGAAATCTTTTGACTTCAACACCAAATTGTCTCTCGGTTTAATAAATATAATCAATTCGATTTTCTTCGGCTTCACTTTTACTAAAATCTTTACAATAAGGAAACATAAAAAATCATCTAAGATTACCTGATAATATTTTCCTCCAGTTATTGTACAAGGTGTTATTGGGCCACATTGGTACTGTGCACAAGTTCTCCTATTTCTGTAGCACGTTTTTCATTTGTTGAAATGTTAGCCTCGCAACTTTTCCTTCCATACCAGCAGGACACATCTTTTTGGGAACTTCGGATCCAAGTTGCCTGGAAGTTTTTTTTCCAGCATTTCCTAACCTTTGATGCCAAATTTCAGCAGCTACACGACAATTTTGATTTTTCTATTTTGGTGTCATATCGAAGTCTTTTCGACACTAAAAGTAGTTTCGAAAAGAAGCTCTTTGTGACACTCCTTTTTTACTTATCGGAGGTTGGTAACACTGGCTGACTGATGGCCATCGAACTGTCATTCGCGATTAAGGGCGGGTATTATAAAACTGCTTTGACAGTTAACTTTTTGAATTACATGTATTTTCAGAAGTTAACTTTAAGTTAACTTTCAAAGTAGTTTTATTATACCCGCCCTAAAGATAATAGAAGATTTTTATATTTGGCCTGTAGTGTTGCCAACCTAAACATATGAAATCAGGAAATATGAGAATAAAATTTCCAAGAAAAGTTTTTTTTTAAATTAAATACCAAAATAGAAAAAATAGTGTAAAATATTCGTTTCATAAGACATTTTATCGCACTTGCCCTTTAGAAAACTCGCCTCCGGCTCGTTTTCTAATATAGGGCTCGTGCGATAAAATGACGTCTTATGAAACTTGTATTTTAATGTACTATTATCACATTGTCAACATACAGTATATATATACGGTCCACCTTTATTATGACATTTATGAGAGAAATTGGGTCAATTTTCCTGTTTTGTTTCCATTATCTTATGTCCTTTTTCAGTTATTTTTGAAGCTGAAATGAGATTCTGTTTCCAATTTGGAACAATCAGGGCTTCAATGACAATACTTTGACCCTGACACTTACCACTTAATTTTCCTAGCCTGTTTGACTTTAAAATTTCATCGGTGTGACGCCCAGGATGATTTCGAACGCACCCCAGAATGGGCTCTTTCACTAAAATTTAAATACGTAATTTAAGTATAAAATCTCAAAGGAGGGACTATTTTAGGCATATATACCAAAAAAAAATGTTCTACAAGGTTCAATAAGTTTTTCATAGGCAATCAAAAGTGCCTAAATTCAAACTATTTTAAAACGCGCCGATTTGCCGACGTCACATAAATATTCTTCATTTCGCTTATGTCGTTGCAAGGAGGAAGGGCTCGGCTGTGTTTGCGCTCTGTAAAGATACGTTAAGGTTCGAATGCGCTGTTGTCGGTTGTGACTAAATGTAGTGCAGCGTAAAATAAATAAATAAAACTAAACATAAAAAATTGCATTAAATTGTATTTAAGCATAATTTAAAAAAAAAAATGTTATAAAATCTTGAATCTATAACTAATTAATTTAACTACTTTTCATGAGATTTTGCCAACATTTCAGAATTAAATCTATTACAAATTTTCAATGTTGACAATTAGTGGCAACAGGGTCAAATTGCGAGCTGCGACGTCATAGAAATAAATTCTGGGTTTTTATTTGGAGGTATTTCTTTGTTTTCTGTTTTCTCAAGAAGGACTTTGAATTTTTCAAAAGTAAAAATACAGAAAATTCTGTTTTTAGTTGCTTTATCCAAATATGCCAATTTCAAAAATTAGTGAAAGAGCCCATTGGTGCAAAGAGGAATTTTTTACGCATAATTCCTTAAAATTCCTGCAAATTCCTCCAAATTCCTCCAGATACCCCATCACAAATTCCTCCAAATAACCCACCACGAACTTCTCCAAATACCCCCCAAATTCCTCTAAAAAAAGGGAAAACTTTGAAACTTTTTGCATGTAAAAAGGAAGGTGAGAAGCTCATTTTCCCAAAATTTCAAATTTTTCCAGTGGAAAATAACAAGATAAGGAATATTGAAAATCAACCTACAATAACTGAATTAATTGAAAATACAGTCTCACACATTTCAAAGTTTTCCTGGAAAACTAGTGGAGGGAAAATTTTGAAACTTTTTGCATGTAAAGAGGAAGGTAAAAAGCTCATTTTCTCAAGATTTAAAATTTTTCCAGAAGAAAATTACATGAGGAATCTTGGAAATCTATGAGGAATCTTGGAAATCAACCCACAATAACTGAATTAATTGAAAATACTGTCCCCCACATTTCAAAGTTTTCCTGGAAAACTAGTGGAGGGAAATTTTAAAACTTTTTGAATGTAAAGAGTAAGTTGAGAAGATCATCTTTCCAAAAGTTCAAATTTTTCCAGTGAAAAACAGTAACATGAAAAATCTTGGAAATCAACCTACAAAAACTGAATTAGTTGAAAATACAGTCTCACACATTTCAAAGTTTTCCTGGAAAACTAGTAGAGAGAAAATTTTGAAACTCTTTGCATGTAAAGAGGAAGGTGAGAAGATCGTTTTCCCAAAGTTTCAAATTTTTCCAGTAGAAAATTACAACATGAGGAATCTTGGAAATCAACCCACAATAACTGAATTAATTGAAAATACTGTCCCACACATTTCAAAGTTTTCCTGGAAAACTAGTGGAGGGAAAATTTTAAAACTTTTTCCATGTGAAGAGCAAGGTGAGAAGATCATTTTTCTAAAAGTTCAAATTTTTCCAGTGAAAAACAGTATCATGAAAAATCTTGAAAATCAACCTACAAAAACTGAATTAATTGAAAATACAGTCTCACACATTTCAAAATTTTCCTGGAAAACTAGTGATGGGAAAATTTTGAAACTTTTTGCATGTAAAGAGGAAGGTGAGAAGATCATTTTAAAGAGGAAGGTGAGAAGATCATTTTCCCAAAGTTTCAAATTTTTCCAGTAGAAAATTACAACATGAGGAATCTTGGAAATGAACCCACAATAACTGAATTAATTGAAAATACTGTCCCACACATTTCAAAGTTTTCCTGGAAAACTAGTGAAGGGAAAATTTTAAAACTTTTTGCATGTGAAGAGCAAGGTGAGAAGATCATTTTTCTAAAAGTTCAAATTTTTCCAGTGAAAAACAGTATCATGAAAAATCTTGAAAATCAACCTACAAAAACTGAATTAATTGAAAATACAGTCTCACACATTTCAAAATTTTCCTGGAAAACTAGTGATGGGAAAATTTTGAAACTTTTTGCATGTAAAGAGGAAGGTGAGAAGATCATTTTAAAGAGGAAGGTGAGAAGATCATTTTCCCAAAGTTTCAAATTTTTCCAGTAGAAAATTACAACATGAGGAATCTTGGAAATGAACCCACAATAACTGAATTAATTGAAAATACTGTCCCACACATTTCAAAGTTTTCCTGGAAAACTAGTGAAGGGAAAATTTTAAAACTTTTTGCATGTGAAGAGCAAGGTGAGAAGATCATTTTTCTAAAAGTTCAAATTTTTCCAGTGAAAAACAGTATCATGAAAAATCTTGAAAATCAACCTACAAAAACTGAATTAATTGAAAATACAGTCTCACACATTTCAAAATTTTCCTGGAAAACTAATGAAGGGAAAATTTTGAAACTTTTTGCATGTAAAGAGGAAGGTGAGAAGCTCATTTTCCCAAAATTTCAAATTTTTCCACTAGAAAATTACAACATGAAACTTGGAAATCAACCTACAAAAACTGAATTTGTTGAAAATACAGTCTCACACATTTCAACGTTTTCCTGGAAAACTAGTGAAGAGAAAACTTTGAAACTTTTTGCATGTAAAGAGGAAGGTGAGAAGATCATTCTCCCAAAATTTTAAATTTTTCCAGTAGAAAATGACAACATGAGGAATCTTGGAAATCAACCTACAATAACTGAATTAATTGAAAATACAGTCTCACACATTTCAAAATTTTCCTAGAAAACTAGTGAAGGGAAAATTTTGGAACTTTTTGCATGTAAAGAGAAAGGTGAGAAGCTCATTTTCCTAAAATTTCAAATTTTTCCAGTAGAAAATTACAACATGAGGAATCTTGGAAATGAACCCACAATAACTGAATTAATTGAAAATACTGTCCCACACATTTCAAAGTTTTTCTGGAAAACTAGTAAAGAGAAAATTTTTAAACTTTTTGCATGTAAAGAGGAAGGTGAGAATATCATTTTCCCAAAATTTCAAATTTTTCCAGTAGAAAATTACAACATGAGGAATCTCGAATATCAACCTACAATAACTGAATTAATTGAAAATACAGTCTCACACATTTCAAAATTTTCCTGAAAAACTAGTGAAGGGAAAATTTTAAAACTTTTTGCATGTAAAGAGGAAGATGAGAAGCTCATTTTCCCAAAATTTCAAATTTTTCCTCTAGAAAATTACAACATGAAAAATCTTGGAAATTAACCTACAAAAACTGAATTAGTTGAAAATACAGTCTCACACATTTCAAAGTTTTTCTGGAAAACTAGCGAAGGGAAAATTTTGAAATTTTTTGCATGTAAAGAGGAAGGTGAGAAGCTCACTAGATTTTTTTTTTAATTTTCATTTGTTACTATTTCCTATAATAAGAAAGTGAACCTCAGTGACGTCATGACCCGACAATTTCCTTTAAATTCCTCATAAATTCCTTACCAATTCTCCCAAATTCCCCATAAATTTCTCAAAATTCCCTATAAATTCGCCAAGTTCTCATAGACTCCGATAAATTCCTTCAAATTCCCCACAAATTCCTCTAAATGTCCCACAAATTCCCCACATTTTTAGCAAAGAATCCCTAGGTGTTTTGTCCCTTGTTCCAGATTTTCTTTTACAAAGTGATTACTAGCTCCTGAGTCCAATATAAAGCTAGTAGAGCCAATATTTACATCTGTGTCACAGAAATTAGCAGCGAAAAGAACAAGGATAACACTAACTGGCACACACTATCACTCTCATTTATGTTTGATCCAAGGTCTTTAAGGTCACGTATTATTGAATCAAATTTCAAGAAATGGCCCTCCAAACTCTCATTTATTCCTGGGCGTAAACTGAACAGTTTTCTCCACAAAGATAATTTGGTCAATGAACTTGTTCTAACGAATATGTCTTTAAGATCTCGTAATTGACTTTTAGGAGTAACACGATCTTTAACAATATTCAAATGCTTATCGGATACACCCTGAACGATTATGGACTTCGCTTTAGCATCAAGTCTCTTGAATTTCTGTTGCTCCTCAAGTGGTGCGGTTGTTGCTGCCTGATCATTTTTGATGACACCATTACACTGTTCTCTAGTTAACAAAGTTAAGATAGCCATTTTGTTGTTCACTTTTCTCTTTTCTCCTTACAAACTCTTCGCGATTACGCAATGAAAAATTACCCTCAGTTCATTCAAGGAACAGCCCTGGGCCCATAACCTATTGTAGAAGTAGTTAGATATGGGTAATGAAGGACAATAATTCATGGAATATCAAATATTACAATTCTTACAGTCAGAGAACAGACACTTTTCTACTGAATTGATTGACATAAAACATTGACATGATAAATATATGGTATGGTGGTCATTAAGCTAACATTCTAGATTTATATACTTAACAGAGTAGGCAATACAACTTGAACCTTAAGCTACTGTAGGTTCATTATTTGGTCGAGATTATTTGAAACTCCAAAGAATTTATGGTCATTTTTCAGTTGAAATTATTAGAAAAATTTAATTCTGCAACTTGAATTTGGCAGTTTCTTAATTGTTGTAAGAATAAATTAAGAGTGCATTATTTTTTTGTGACTTTGCCCTTCATAATCTCCTTGCTTTTAGATATGTAGCAGATTGTAGCTGACTAGCTTAAGCCCGTATTACATCTGTGTATTTTTCCGTTTATTTCTTCATGCAATTCAGAGTGCCAACATATTGCGTTTGAAGTTTTTCGGTTGTCATCCTGAACTACATGAAAAAATACATGGAGAAATACACAGATGTAATAAAGGCTTTAGATTCTCAGAAAATTAATCTATTTATAAATCGTTACTAGGTCTCTGCTGGACAACACCTTCATCTCAGCGCTGATATCAAAGGCAACGTCTCAATAGCAGCAAACCAAGGAATGCATTTCTCTCACGGCTCTACGCCTGGAGATCCTCATACTCCCCAACAAAACACCGCTAGCTCGCCCATGTCTTCGGCTCAACACCAAAACGGTAGCATGCCAAACACCCCGCAATCTTCCATGAATCAAAACTCAGCCCAAATGGGCGGTCAGCAAAGCGGTATGGGCGGAATGCAAAACGCAAGCGGTTCAATGGGTAATCAAGCGGGCATGCAAAGTAATAACATGCAAAGCGGCTTGGGTGGTATGATGGGTGGACCAAATATGATGGGAGACTCTTACTCCATGTCTCAAACGCAAACAATCAATTTTACCCAACAAAATTTGAGAAGGACCAACAGTGGACCACAAGGTAAGACTCAATTGTCCCAATTTCAAAAAAAAAAATCATATAATTGTGTATTTTGTAGGTATGGCTGGTAATATGGGTGGTCCAACTGGAGCCCAAATGGGCCCAGTGGGCGCTCCGATGGGTTCAAGACTCATGCCCAATCAGCAAGCGATAGATCCGCAAAAATTGCAACAAATATTCCGAGCTCAGCAAGCTATGCAACAGCAACAACTGAGGCCGCCCCCGCCTGATTATAAGACCAGTGCTGGACTGAGCCAAGGGATGCAACCCAGGTACGGAGCTCCGGCGCCACCTAACATGAGACGGATGCCACACCAACCTATACCACCTTCAGGTAGGACGCAACAACAACAAAGTGAGGAGAATAATATATGTGTTTTTTTCAATTGGCTCTTTATTATGTTGCAGTTTTATAAAAATAATATTTTTTCAGGCCCAATGATCAGATCCAATATGTACATGTTGCAACAGCAACAGCAGCAACAATTACCGGGAAGGGCCATGTACGCCCGACAGCCAGGACCAATGGGCAACATGGAAACGATGCAACAAAACAATTCGGATTGGCGTCATTTGCTGATGTCACAACAGCAGAATGCTAATTTTGGAGGGATGAGGCCTGGGTTTCAAGGAAGTAAGAAACTAATTAATTACTCAAACAAATTAATAATTTAACTGGGGTGTTTTGATCGGGAGTGTACTGGGAAAAAAATGTGATATGATACACGTTGATTCCTAAATTTCCGAATATTTATTTCAAAATACTGTACTCCATTCCTAAAAGTAGAAAATACGCAGTCAGGGTCAATGGAATCTGTTCAAAATTGAACAAAAGGCAAAAATATAGCAATAAAGATTTCTGAAGTAGCACTAGAGTGTATTACAATCAAATCGTCTATATAAGCAAATATGGTCAAATCTTGGAGTTTGGATTTGAATCGGTTAATGAGTCTTTGGAAGGTGGAGGGTGCATTTTTCATTCCAAATGGCATTCTCGTATAACGGAAAATTACAAATGGGCAAATAAATGCTGTTTTATCTCGATTAGATTCGCGGACAGAGCCTTGATGGTATCCTGATTTTTAATCAAGAGTGCTCATATACCTACTTTGTTTGTTTTGCAATGTGTAATGGATCGTCAATCCTAGAAAGTGGGTATTTATCGGAAACTGTTTTCTCATTTAGGCGTTGATAATTGACACAATGGCAAATACTACCATCAGGTTTAGGTACTAGAATAACTGGAGCAGCATACGGGGATTCCCATTCTTCTATGATTCCATCTTTCAGAAGCTTATCCAGTTCTGCTTTCAATATGTTATTGTTTTGTTCAGACATCCGATAAGGTGGTACAGAAATTGAATTCAGTTGTACAGAAAATATTGGAGTATAGATTCCGCAGTAGTTATTACATAATTAGTTTCATCTTCAAATAAATACACAAATTGTGGAGTTTCAGCATAATATCATTGTCCCTGAGGAATGTATCACAATATTTCTTTAGTGCGCCCAGTCATTCGATACCTTTTTTTTTCACCAAACACTGAAAAACCAATAGAGCGCGGCTTGTTCACCCGTTAATAAGGGAACGTGAGCTGGGTTTAGACCATCGTGAGACAGGTTAGTTTTACTCCACTGATAACTGGTCGTTGCGATAGTAATCCTGCTCAGTATGAGAGGAACCGCAGGTTCGGACATTTGGTTCACGCACTAGCTTGAGCGGGCTATGGTGCGAAGCTACCATGCGTTGGTTTATGCTTGAACGCCTTTAAGGCCGTATCCTTTCTAGTCAAAGGTGGCAACGATAACTCTTGGAGTTCCAAGAGTAAGGCTCAAAACAATGTGAATTTCTTGCCACGTCCGACCAGAATTCTTGGCGGTCTGAACCAAGTAAAGTCCTACTATTGATCAAATCAAATCAAATCAAAATAAGCTTTATTGTCCAGAAATATTTTTTTTTTTTTTTACGGATATGCGCACTTGCAAGGAAATGTCCTATCACGCTCGAGAAGCGGCAAGTGCGCGGAAATGTCGGTGTATGTTGGTCTTGAAACGGTTCAGGTTGTAACCTGCAGGGAAAACCGTCGCAGGGAGTTTATTCCACAGCGATGCTGTTCTCCAGAGATATGAATTCTGATATAATGAGGTTCTTGGTGCCTCTAGTTTGACAGTAAATTCATGGTTACCGTCTGTTTGACGGGTTCGCCTGGTAGGTGCTACTCTCGGTGGAATCATACGTGCCAAACTCTTCAGAGCATTTTCCGTGATAGTACCTGTAGAAGAGAGATAAATCGCCCACAGATCTGCGATGTTCGAGACCATCCAAGTTACGAGTAAGTGCGGGGTCATTGATCAGCTTGATAGCTCGATTTTGCACGGTGTTCAAAAGCATTAAGGTATGTTTGGGTGCTGCACTCCATATATGTGAGCAGTACTCTATAGTTGGTCGAATCTGGGATTTGTAGAGTGTCAGCAATTGGCTTGGTGTGTACAGATGTCTTGTACGAAATAGCACCCCCAGCTTTTGGGAGGCCCTTTTAGCAATATCTGCCACGTGACTGTGCCAAGACATGTTGGTCTCTGCAGTAACCCCCAAGATGTTCAACTGAGTCTGTAATGTGACAGCACTTCCAGATAGCATGATGTTTGGCTCACCGGTGCTGGTCTTTTTTGAAAACAGAGCTGCTTGGGTTTTCTGCGCGTTGAACTGTACAAGGTTTTTGTTACCCCAGTCCTCTATTATCTCCAGGTCGTTATTTATCTGCGATATTTGAGTTAGTCTAAGATGATGGAATTCACGTGCGGAAAGACCTGTGGGTGGTATGAGTGAGGAGACTACATTGCCATCGTCTGCAAAGCAATAAAGTGGATTTACTGTTTTATCTATGAGGTCATTTATGTAAATCAGGAAAAGAGTTGGCGAAAGGATTGCTCCCTGTGGCACACCAGCATTTATTTGGTAAGAGTTGGAGTTCTGGCCATCCAGTGCAACATAAATGGATCTGTCCTTTAGGTAACTTTCAAACCAAGTGCAAAGTTTCGGCGATAATCCCATTGCTTTGAGCTTGTTGAGCAGATTTTCATGCCAAACTTTCTCGAATGCTTTAGATATATCTAAGGCAATTGTTCTTGTTTCACCCCGCAACTCAATCGCTTTTTGCCATAAGTGAGTGACGTATGTAAATAAATCGCCAGTTGACCTATATTTTCGAAATCCGTATTGCTTATCGTTGATAATTTTGTACTTTTCCAAGTACTTGGTTAGGTGATTGTTCACAACTCTTTCCATTACTTTTGATATCACCGGAAGTAGAGCAATTGGTCTATAGTTTAACGGATCTGTCTTTTTTCCTTTCTTTGGAATGGGTTGTACTGCGGCAGACTTCCATGATGATGGATATACTCCTTGCCTGTAAGACAAATTGAATAATTTTGCGAAAGTTGGGGTGAGTTCGTTGGCGCAATTTTTGAGTACTATTGCGGGAATGCCATCCGGACCCATTGCTTTGTTTGTATCCAGCTTTTTCAGGGATTTTCGTATTTCTCTGTGACAAAAGGGTACCTCTGGCATACCATGGGAAACCCTTTCAATGAACGGTGGAGTTTTTCCGCTTGGCACTGTTAGGTTGGAGTTGGAGGAAAACATTTGGGCAAGCATATTGGCTTTTTCCTCTGATGTTGTGGCTAAGTGATTATTTTTATCTGTAAGTGGTGGTATGGATGACTTGGTGAAGTTAGATCCAGCAGCTTTTGCAAGAGACCAAAAAGACCTAGAACTACTTGGACAATTCAGCAACCTGTTTTTTATTCTTTGATTGTATGTTTCTTTAGCGGAGTCAATAGTAATTTTGCAACTATTTCTGGCTTCTATAAATTCTGTGTGATTTTGAGCGGTTTGTTGTCGTTTCCAAAGGTTATATAACTCTCTGTGTTTTTTCTGTACAGCCGTTTGACACTGGCTGTTGAACCAAGGTTTTGCATTAGCTCTACGTTTAGTTGTATGTGGGATATATGCGTCCATTCCAGATAAGATTACTTGTGTTATTTCATTACAGCAAATAGTGGGATCAGCTGTTTTAAAGCAAACCTCTTGCCATGGAAAATCCAGGTAATACTGTTTTAGGTCATTCCATTTTGCCGATTTATAGTGCCACATTTTACGAGGAAGTGGTTGTAGGCTTGGTGGGATGAGCATTTCGCACTTTGTTATTATAAGTTTATGATCGGACGAACCAAGTGGAGCATCTACTTGAATTGTGTACGAGTCAGGATTGGTGGTTAGGAACAAGTCTAAAAGCGCTGCAAATTCGCCCCTTTCTGAGATACGGGTAGGTTCATCGACAAGCTGCGTTAGACCACAACTTATGGCAAAAGCTTCTGCTTCTCTGCCTTCGTTATCTGTTTTGTTGTGGTGTTTCAGCCAGGGTATATTGTGGACGTTGAAATCGCCTAAAAAGACAATTTCCGCCTGTGGATAGTTTGACTGTTTACTATCACAGCTTTCGGATAATGTCGCGAAAAAGTTTGGGTAATCGGTGTTACTTGGCGGTCGGTAGAGGCAGCAGATAAACTTGGTCGATGACTTTGAGGTGAATTTTAGCCATATGATATCAAGGTTCGCTGGTTCTAGCTTCTCCTCTCGATGACATGAAAGGTCATTTTTAATGTACACACAGATCCCAAAATTATGTCGAAATCGGTGGTGTAGGTCATAGCCGGGATAAAGATAGTTCACAATAGGTGTTGCCGAACTGATTTTAGTTTCAGTGAGAACAAGGATATCAGGTCTTTGTTCTTCAAGATGTTGGTGAACTGAATTCATACAGGGTGGCCATTTGAAAACGAAACAGAGGTGATTTTGGGCTCCCCAAGACATTTAAGAAAAAACCCTCGTACCCGTCGATTTTTGATTTAAGGGGGAACCATGTTTCTGGTGGTTTCATCCCCTAGGGGGCAAAGCCCTAGCGGGGGTGACAAGGGCCCCCAAAATTTTAAATGGAATGAGGGGTCGAGTGATACCTTATTTTGAAGATATTTTTATGTAGATTATAACCCCCGAGTCTTACATCGTTACTATCTACCTAGCCATTACAGGGGCTAATTAAAGTTACAAAAACATGTTAGAATATTTTTATTTAAAAAAATGCTTTAAAAATAAAATCAATCAAGTAAATGCTGAAAATGACCTCAGAAGAAAAAATCTAACGGGCTTAAATCTGGAGAACGCGGGGGCCTCTCCTTCGAATCCATTGTCCTGGAAACCTTTGGTCCAAATATTGACGAATCACTGCAGCATAGTGGGGTGGCGCACCATTTTGTTGAAATATTAGACGGTTTTCCATGTATCCGTTATCATTCTCTAGTATCTTCACCAATTCTGGATGAATCGCATCTTCTTATCACTCTAGGTACATTGCTTCTGTTAAATTTATAGGTAAAGAAGGGGTCTATTATACGGTTACCAAAAATGCTAGCCTAAACACTCAATTTCTCGGGATGTTGCGTATGTACCTCACGAAATATGTTTTCTGGGATTTGAATTAGCCCAATAGCGGCAGTTGAGACGATTCACCGTACCGTTCAAGAAAAAAGGAGCATTCATCAGAGAAATATACAAACTGCTGCTCCATTTAT